TGAGCCGATGGGTTACCAGCCGAACTATTCAAAACTGGTGGCCAGATGCTGGTCGTGTGATCTCTTTAACATCCTACTGGAAAAGGTCATACGAGACGCAAAGGTGAACAGAAATGGTACTCTGTACACCAAACAACACATGTTACTCGACTACGCCGATGACATCGATATAATGGGTCGAACATTGCGAGCGGTAACAGCCACCTTTGAACAAATTGATTGCCAAAGTGGGACTGGCAGTAAACGGTGAGAAGACCAAGCTGATGGTATCAACGCGCAAGACGTCCAGTAGACTCGGACCAACTGTGGAACTTGAGAACTACAGCTTCGAGGTAGTTAAAGACTTTATATACCTTGGTACCGCCATAAATAAAACGAATGACATCAGTTTTGAAATTCGGAGAAGGATTGTGATGGCCAACAGATGCTACTATGGTCTAAGTAAGCAGTTTAGAAACAAGGCCACCTCCCGCCAGACCAAACTCACACTTTACAAGACGCTGATACTACCCGTGCTATTATATGGATCAGAAGCATGGGTACTTGCGCAAGCAGATGAGGCAGCTCTTGGGGTGTTTGAGAGAAAAATTCTCCGAAAGATCTACGGGCCGATCTGCGTCGACGGTGAATATCGGCGTCGAATGAACCACGAGCTATACAATTTATACGCGGACATCGACATAGTCAGTCGTATTGAGCTGCAGCCACTACGGTGGCTAGGCCATGTTGTGCGGATGAATGAAAATGCCCCAGCTCAAAAGGCATATAAAAATGAGCGTACTGATGGTTCCCGTAGAAGGGGAAGGCCACGAATTAAATGGAAAGACCAATTAGAAAACAACATCTTGGAACGTGGTCTTCCAAATTGGTGGACTTGCACACAAGACCGACGCGCTTGAAAATCTTTTTTAAGCTCGGCTTATGGAACAACCGTTCTGTAACAGCTAAGTAAGTAAGTTAGTCATTATACGGGGCAACGCCTAAATGTGGACCCATTTTCGAAACAGGCCTCTCAGTTTTGTATCTTGATATCCTCCGAAGGTGGTGTGATAACAATAACAATAGATGTACAGTCGGGCGGAAATGGCTAAATTGTCATTGAATACCACACTTTGCACATTATGAATGGTGAAATACGCTTATATGAGGTAAACCCTAAACATGCGAAATAAATAAGTTAACTATTTTAATATAAACAAGTGAAAAAGGCCGGGCCGAACTTTGGACTCCCTCCACCATAGGTATACTGATAGTTACTTAAAATGAAAATATTGTAAACCATATGGTACACCAAATACCAATTTCAGCAAGTGAGATTTTCCCTAAAATCTTAAAACCCCAAAACGTGGGCCGATATTGATAACGCATGTTAGGGCGGAACAATAAAATCCTCAAAATATTGAAATTTCATGCAAAATATTAAAAATACCAAAAATCGGTAGGCATCAAACCTGACGCTTAAGTTTTTTATTTCGATATCCTATGGTAGATTGATTATAACATATGGCTTAATCGGGTAAATTGTCTTAGAATTCCATACTTTGTATCACAAAACTGGAATACTCCTATAGGGAGACAACCCCAAAACGCGAAAGAAATCAGTTGACTATTAAGAACCCAGTGTACCAAGAACCACAAAATTCCGAAAATTGGGATGTACTCTTATATGAGGTCTACGCCTAAATGTAGACCGATGTACCCCTATGCAAAATTTCAGCACCCTATCTCAGAAGATAGCGTGATTACAACGGACGACCATGGCTATATCATCTTAGAAGTTTACTCTGATCAAGAATATTTATACTTTATAGGGTCGGAAATGAATATTTCGATTCGGAATGACAAAATTAATATACCCTCCATACTACTGTGGAGGGTTCAAAAAAGAGCTTGTGTAAGGACTCCCCCCAAAAAAGGACTAAAATTAATACTTTTTGGTAAGGAGATTTGTTACCTAGTGCGAATCCAATATAGGGATTACCCGGAAATGTGGACCGATAATGATAAATGTTTCGAATCAAAACAAATTCGGTCCAAAAACACGTTCAGAACCCGAAAATTTGGAGGTTACGTTATATGGAGGTTACCCCCAAAACGTAGACCCATATAGCCCATCTTCGAACTTGACTGCCTGCAAACAAAAACCAAAAATTCAACACCCTATTTCCTTCAGAAGATTAGATTAGAAGAGACGGATGGGGCGGATAGGGCTAGATCGTCTTAGAATTTTACCCTGATCAAGAATGTGTATACTTTATAGGGTCGGAAATGTATATTTCGATGAGTTACAAACGGAATGACCAAATTAATATACCCTCCAAATATGGTGGAGGAATTCAGAATACTAAATTATGACGAATTTTGTAGAAAGACGTGCCCAAAAACTCCAAAATACCGAATTATAGGGTTATACCAAAACGTGGATCCTTTACAGAATTGTACGGACAGACATGTTTCAAAACCAGTAAGTAAAGTCGGACTGAACCGCCCCTTACCACTTTGCGTATATTCTACATATGTATCCCAAAATGAAATTAAACGAACTTAAATATGTTATTTTAATCTATAAGTGAACCGTTTAACATTAATCCATACACTTGCTTTTCTGACACTTAAAATAAATTTCATTACATTCGGGCAGATTTAGAGTCGTTTGTGTGAAATGGGACTAATTAATTTAAAGCAAACTTGATACACGCTACTCTGTATGAAGCACTGCACAACTTTCAACCAAACGCAATAACGTCATTCTTGTTTCAATTTGATTGTGAATAATTTTGTGCCAATCGGAGAAACATTAAGAGTTTGGTGCACCATTTACCTAGAATCGGAGGAAAAAATATGTGGGAGCTATGTCCAAATCTGAACCGATTTCAAAGACATTTACAAGATATTAATTTACATTAGCTTCAATACATTGTACAAAATTGTGTGTCAACCGGACAAACTTTAGGTAATTAGTGCACAATTTACATTAAATCGGGCGAAAATATATATATGGGAGCTATAAATAAATCTGAACCGATATTCACGAAACTTAACGTACATCATTCTAGACTTAATTCATTACTCTATGCCATATTTCGTGCAAATCAAAAGATGTATAGGAGCTTTGGTGTACTATTTACAGTAAATCGGACGAAAATATATATGGAAGCTACATATATATAAGACGGACCGATTTTCACGAAACTTAACACACATTATTCTGTACATAAATTATTACGCTATACCAAATTTCGTCCAAATCGTAAGATATACAGGGACTTTGGTATACCATTTACATTAAATTGGACAAAAAAATATATGGTGCTAAATCTAAATCCAAATAAGTGACCTATGCCAAATTTTATCAAATTCGAATCATAAATGCGACCTGTACTTTGTTTACAATTTCACATGGACAGACATACGAACAGACGGACATACATACGTCTCTTTAGAAAGTGATTCTATGCATATTGTCAAACGGAACTATGTGTCTCTCTCGTTTCCTTTTGCCTGTTACAAACATATGGACAAATACATAATACCCTGTACCACAGTATAGTGAAGGTTATAAAAATATGCTTCTTAAATGGATTTTTCAGAAGACCAACGGTCCAACGCACGCATCTTCATATGTCGTGGTTTAAATTCAAAATAAAAGTGGCTGCGAAGAATACTAATAATACAGGGTTATCCATTTCGTGAATTCAAAAGTATGAAACAAAAATTCGACAACTATGCTGTTAATCCAATATTTTCTTTTCAGTTGAAGTTTGACATTGACTAAAATGGATAAATGGACTTTAAATACACTCGAGTGTATGTTTTTTATATTCCTTGTTCGAAGCAGTTTATAATAGTCAGTAAATTGAAACTTATAGTACTTTGTGATGTACTGGCTTACAAAAAAAGTTTTGTTCTAATGGTAAAATTGCATAGTCATACTTTTTAAAAGCTTTCAATCGAACTCAGCATCTGCAAAAAAATCTATCGCATCAATTATATGCCAGAGTTACGTTCTGGAATATAATTGATGAAATACTTTTTTTTACCAATCAACCAAATCACGATATTTTCAATAACGCTTTGGGGGATTTCCTTATGGCTCCATTTCTTTTTTCGCATAGTTATTATAATTTAATGATCAATTAGTCAATAGTTAAGTTGTTATTCTTTTGTTTAGTTGGGTGTTTGTTTGTTTCTATTTGTTTTTGTTCGAATTAATTTGTGAGTGGATTTCTCTGTTATGGGGGAGATACCGGCAACGATCGTGGTTTAGCGTAAGTCAACTTCGAAAGTGTAAACAAAAATAAAACAACCGAGAATTTGACAAATGAGAATTTGAAAAAAAAACGTAGCAAACATCAATGTTTATAAATTATAAAATGATGTTCGCATAAATAAATTATACACCAAGAGCAGAAGCAGTAAATATATATTTTTTATAAAACCATAAATTTATAAAAAAAATTTGTCGATTTTAATAAAGAAGCGAAATAAATTTCCAAGAGTACGGCAGATATTTCTCGAGAGAGAAAGGTAAGAAAAATTAAAATATGTAACAAACAAAATAAATAAACAGAAAATTTGAGAAGTATGGCAAATTTTTATGAATTTGTGTTAAAAGAGGGGGTTGTTTTCAATTCTGTTACACTCAAAAAATTGCTTAGTTCAAACTACGTAACTTAATATTCTTAAAGTACTGCAGATGACTCAGTATAGGTCTGCAATGAATAGAAGACCAATTAGGTCCAAATATCTATTGTGTAAAAACTCTTTTAACTAACATCAATATTCGAGTGTATACTGCTTAAAGAAAGTCAACTCTCACACACTGATCCGACGAAGATAATCTCACCCGTTTAACAAAGATGGGAGAGAGTTGGCAACAACAACAAATCAAATTTCTTAACAACTCTATATAAAATCTCCAAACTTTTCCTAATTTACAACATTCGGTGTTCGATATTCTAACGATAAGCACGAGAGTGGTCAAGAAGAGTCTGACAAACAAAATGTTTAAATTTATAACAGTTTTGAGTTTGGCATTAGTGACGGTTAATGCTTACGATTTTACGGATACATATTTTAGTAAGTTTTAGTGTTTTGAAAAGGATATAAAATAAAAAAGGACATACCAAACGAAATGATGTGTTTTACAAAATAAGTGTAAAGGACTAAAAAATAATTTAATGGTGTGTTTATTTTTATTAAAGATCAATATCTATTCGATGAATATGAATCGTTACAATCAACGTTATTATCCCGTCATCGTCGTGATGTTAGTGAAATTGTTCCTGCCGCGGAGGAAATGAAAACTAAGGATATTGTGAAACCAATGGAAGATATGAACACCAAGGATATAGTGAAACCTCATGAAGAAATGAAGAATGTGGATGAAATGAAACCCTCGAAGGAATGTGAAAGTCATTATCATCACATGATGATGTCGAAAAAGGATTTAACTTGCTGTGAATCGAATCATCATGATCCCAGTTATTTCTCAATGATCCGTGAAACGAAAAAACAATGTGCCATGAAATTGAGAACCAATAATCGTAAGTATCGGATATCTTGATGGGTATATATTTTCTTGTTATAACCTCCACCATTAGTTGGACACTTAAAATACCCGTAATCATTCGGTACCTTAACATATATCGCGAGCTGTGCTTTGGTAAAAGTTTCGTAGAATGATTTGAAGCTCAATGACAAGGAAACTACAGCCAATTCGGGTAACAAACCCCAAAATACCGAATATCGTCACCGTTATACGTAGGTGGACCAATATTGATCCAAAATACCCAATTACAGACAATTCTGTGGAAAAGCGTGTCATACTCCTCGCTATTGCAAAAATTGGACCAATATTAAATGAATGTTCAAATATTTATGATTCGAATGTGACGTACTGAATTAAGGTAACCCCCCATTCTCGATTTTCAATTTTTCAATGGACTAATAAATCAATGCCAAAGCTTGTTAAGGTTTGTAACTTTGCAGATATATATTTGAAGATTTAAAGGAAGAGAAAAATAATTTACAAAATTTTTGTTGTTGTTTTATGGGATTAAAGAAATCCGGATCGGTTGTTATGCGATGTACAAGTTTAAAATAAATTGACCCTTTGTTGGGGAGGTACTAGAAGGAATGGACCGATAAGTCCTATCTTCCAACTTGAATTAAGTTTGAAAGAAATATTACGATGTGCATATTTGGCATCAACATTCCATACCATTGTGATTGAATTACTTTGTGCATATGTTTGTAACAGACAAAAATAATCGAGATAGACCCATGGTTCTTTTTGAGAATATGCATAGAATCACTTTCTGAGTCGATTTATGCATGTCCGTCTGTCCGTCCGTTCGTCTGTCCATGTTAAATTGTAAACAAAGTACAGGTCGCATTTATGATTCGAATTGGAAGAAATTTGGCACAGCTAATTTGTTTGGCCCAAGAACGAACCCTATTGAAATTGGGAAAAATCAGTTCAGATTTAGATATAGCTCCCATATATATTTTCGTCCGATTTAAGGAAAATGGGGTACCAAAGTCACTAAATATCTTTTGATTTACACGAAATTTGGTATAGCCTACTGAATTAAGTCTAGAATGATGTGTGCTAAGTTTCGTGAAAATCGGTTCAGATTTAGATATAGCTCCCATATATAGTTTCGCCCGAGTTTAAGTAAACGGCGCACCAAAGTCCCTGAAAATCATTTGATTTGCACGAATTTTGGCATAGCGTATTGAATTAAGTCTAGAATGGTGGGTACTAAGTTTCGTGAAAATCGGTTTAGATTTACAAATAGCTCCCATATATAGTTTCGCCCCATTATAGGTAAATGGTCTACCAATGTCCCTATATATGTTTCGATTTGCACGAAATTTGGTATAGCCTACTGAATTAGGTCTAGAATGATGTGTGTTAAGTTTCGGGAAAATCGGTTCAGATTTAGATATAGCTCCCATATATAGTTTCGCCCTGAAAATCATTTAATTTGCACGAATTTTGGCATTGCGTATTGAATTAAGTCTAAAATGACGTGTGCTAAGTTTCGTGAAAATCGGTTCAGTTTTAGATATAACTTCCATACATAGTTTCGTCCGATTTTAGGTAAATGGTGCACCAAAGTCTCTGAAAATCATTCGATTTGCACGAATTTTGGCATAGCGTATTGAATTAAGTCTACAATGATGAGTACACCTCTTATTTATATTTTCGTCCGACTTTAAGTAAATTGTGCACTAAAGATCCACAGCTAGGCCGATTGACACAACGTACTGAAATTAATGTAAATTAATCTCTGGCAAGTTTGCTTCAATTCGGTTCAGATATATATATATATATATATATATATAATTTCGACTTCTTTATGTTAATTGTACACCAAATAATCAATAGGTGTCTGATTGATTGACTGTGCGCAAACGACTCTAAACTTGCCCAAATAGCTTCCAGAAAGACATAAAAATCAAATAAAATTCTTTTCGGATACATATGTAGAATAAAGTGGTGAAGGGTATCATATAGTCGGCCCAGGTCGACTTTATTGCTTCACTTACGGTTTTTTTAATTTTGACCAATTGTGGGGGAGGTAAGGAGTGGACGGTACCAACCGGTCTTTGGATTTGAAATATTACCATGTGCAATATTTGGATGCAATCGGTTTCTTCATTCGAGAGTTATTGTGTGCACCGGCCGGCCAGGCAGACAGATGTTTTAAAATCGAATCCAAATTGTCTGCAACGAAGTTGGTCCAAAGAAACATAAATACCGGCCGATCTTTGGGTATTGCCCTAATAAAAAAGTCTATTCGCTTTATAGGGGTGTATATGGTCCTAGGAGCATTTTCCAACCGAAGTGACTATATTAGCATTATAATATGGGACTTTGGTGTGAAAACGATTTCTTCACAGAGAATTTTTAATACAAGTCAATGTTTTAATATAGTCCCCATTATTAATATGTTTCTTAAATTTATTAATTTATTCTTAATATATATTATTTTTTATTTATTTCCAGCCGATGTTGAAAATTTCGATCCATTCAATTGTGAATATATGTCGAAAATTAAGGATTTGATTATTTGCGAAAGTGAATGCGTTGCCAAAAGCCTTAACTTATTGGACGATAATGGTGAGATTAACCGTGATGCTGTTATTGCCAGTTTCAAACAACACATGTCGGAGGACAGCGCCAAACAACAAAGCGTTTTGGAAGGCTATGTGGACAAGTGTTTGGCCAAAATTAAGAATATGGACACCAAAGTAGCTGGCAAATGTAGCAGTGCACCCATGGAATTACATCATTGCATGTTCGGTGAAATGGTCTCGGGATGTCCGGCTGAGGCGCAAGTTAATACTCCACGCTGTCAGAGGATACGTGAACGTTACAGCAAGGGTCAGACATTGGCATTCGGTAAACATGCTTTACACGAATTTTTGCATTCTGGACGTGGACGTGGCGGTCACACTCATCATTATGGCCACAAAGATCAAATGTAAATTTATAAAGGATTCTGTTTTTTTCTCATCAAACTGCAATTTAATAAATAAACATAAATTATTTTCGTTTTTGTAGAAAAAAAAATATGTCATGCGGGAATTTTAATTGCTATAGCAAATATTAATTTGATATAAAAACCCCCATGTTGACTTAATTGTCTGCTGTGTCTAACGGCAGTGGTTGCTATTTTTTCTAGTGGAATATTTTTCCATTAAATTTAGTGAATTAATTGGTGAATAGAATTAAAAAAATGTGTTTGTTAGTCTAGGTTTTATGGGTTTTGTTTTGGCCGTTGAAGATGTTTTATTTTGTCCTTTTTGGTGGCGTCAACATGCCACAGATGCTTAACGAAAAAATGGATGTGTTTCCATTATATTTAGCCAATTAAATTCCTATTCAAATCCATCAATTTTGTCATCCGTGTTATGTAAATGACCAACATGATATATTTTGTTCTTTTTTTTTGTGGTGCGAAGAACATTGGAGAATTTCAATGAAAGCAAATTAAATGGAAATACGAGGTCAGATCAACAAATGAACCGGAATGGTTTGATAAAAATTGGCCGTTTAACAAATAACAATCTTGTGCACTTCCATAATCGGATTAAATCTGGACCCTGGTTGACGATGTTCTATATTTTTTCATTCTATAGACATGTCGTTCTGAAATCCATTCAAAATGTCAGGTTATTTCGGTTGACATTTGTATTAAATCGAACAAAATTATTTATAAGGGCTATATGAAAGTCTGGAGACTTGGCACACATCTGTGTAGACTCAATTCAATACGTTATGCACAATTTCGTGTAAATCAAAAGATATATCCATAAAATCAGATCAACATATATAGTGGCGTACAGAAGCGAGTTAAGGTTTGTACTTTGAACACTTTTTACGCCTTAAAAATAAAAGTAAACCAGAAAGGAAAGTGATAAAGTAGGCTACACTAACTTCAGAACGTTATGAAAAATTTCGTGTTAAACGAACACACATGAGGAGTTTGGTGCACCACTTATCTAAAATCGGACCAAAAATATGAACCGTTGTCACCAATTTTTTACAAATCGGCCTTACTTTGCGTCCTTGGTGCTCCATTTACCTAAAATCGGATTTTACTTAGTTGGCTTGTGACAAAACTTTCGTTCCATAAGCCGAGCTTTTGCACAGTTTTTCCAGTTTTTTTTTTGAAAGACCATGTTCGGAAAAATATGAAATCGGACGAAAATATGAACCATTGTCACCAAAACTTGACACACGTTAGGCTATATTAACTTCAGTACGATGAGCCCAATTCTTTTTACCTAAAATCGGACTTTATTTAGCTGGCGTGTGACAGAACTTTCGTGCCTTAAGCCTAGCTTAAAAAAATTCCGGTATTTTGCACATTTTTTCCAATTTGAAAGACCATTCGTGGCCTTCCCCTTTCTGCGTGAACCATCAACTGGTTCGCTTTTATATGCTCTTTGAGCTGGGGCATCTTCATGCATTCTCACAACATGACCTAGTCAACGTAGACGCTGCAGCTCGATACGTCTGACAATGCTGATGTCCGAGAATAGCTGGTACAACTCATGGTTCATTCGAATTTCAAAACTGATATCATTAGTTTTATTTATGGCTGTACCAAGGTATGTAAAATCTTTGACTACCTCGAAGCTTTAGTTCTCAAGTTCCACGGTTGGTCCGAGTCTACTGAACGTCTTGCGCGTTGATACCATCAGCTTGGTCTTCTCAACATTTACTACAGATCCACTTTGGCAGACTCCTTCTCAATTTGTTCAAAGGTGGCTGTTATCGCTCGCAATGTTGGACCCAAGTGTTGTTTGGTGTACGGAGCGCCATTTCTGTTCACCTTTGTCACACGACAAACTGTAATCTTGTCTGAATCGTCGTTCGGTATTAAAGGGTTCCGAAAGGTCCTTTCCAACTTTCACTGCTGACCTTGTGTCACTCAAAGTTATCCTGCATAGCCGTATTAATTTTGCAGGAATGCCAAACGCAGACATGGCTTTAAACACTTCTGAACGAATAAGACTGTCAAATGCTGTTTTAAAGTCAGCGAATAGGTGGAATGTGTCGATGTGGGTCTTTTCCAGGAATTGGCGCAGAGTGAAAATCTGGCCAATGGTGGATTTGTCAGGTCTGAAGCCGTATTCGTATGGTCCAATAATGTTATTGGCTCTTGACTTCAATCGCGTTGACTCGTTCCAGCTCCTCAACACGCTGTCTGTATCTGTCACCAGGTTTCCTTCTTCATCTCTACAGGAAGATGTGCCTGCACCAAACTTCATTCTGACTCCTGTACATCTCGATTTGCTCATGCTCTCGTTTTTCTTGTTCTTTCTTCTTTTTTCTGAAAATACGTTTCCTCTCTCTCCTTTCTTCCCGATAATTCTCCATCGCATTACGTGTTGCTACTGCCTGAAGGGTTGCCCTATACTCTATGTTTTTGAAATCAGTAGAATTACGACACTCCTGATCGTACCACGGGATTCTTGATGGTGGTCTTTGGTATCCAAGTGTTTTTATACCCTTCACCACTCTGTGGTACAGGGTATTATGCCTTTGTGCATATGTTTGTAAAAGGTAAAAATAATCGAGATAGACACATAGTTCCTTTTGAGAATATGCATAGAATCACTTTCTGAGTCGTTTTATGCATGTCCGTGCGTCCGTCCGTCTCCCATATATATTTTTGTCCGATTTAATGTAAACGGTCCCTATATATTATTCGATTTGCACGAAATTTGGTACAGCGTAATGAATTAGGTCTAGAATGATGTGTGTGAAGTTTCGTAAAAATTGGTTTAGATTTGGATATAGCTCCCATATATATTTTCGTCCGATTTAAGGTAAATGGTGTACCAAGGTCCATATATATCTTTCGATTTGTACGAAATTTGGCACAGCGTAATGAATTAGGTCTAGAATTATGTGTGACAAGTTTCCTGAAAATCGGTTCAGATTTGGATATAGCTCCCATATATATTTTCGTCCGATTTTAGGTAAATGGTGTAACAAAGTCTCTATATATACTTCGATTTGCACGAAATTTGGCATAGCGTACTGAATTAAGTCGAGAACGATGCTTGTTACATTTTGTGAACATCGGTTCAGATTTAGATATAGCTCCCATATATATGTTCGTCCGATTTTAAGTAAATAGTGCTCCAATGTCCCTTTATATGCTTCGATTTGCACAAAATTTGGCTTAGCGTTCTAAATTGGCTCTAGAATGATGAGTGGTGAGTTTCGGGAAAATCGGCCGAGATTTCGATATAGCTCCCATATATATGTTCGTCCGATTTTATGTAAATGATGCACCAACTTCCCTATATATCCTTCGATTTGCACGAAAGTTGGCACAGCGTACTGAATTAAGTCTAAAACGATGTGTGTTTAATTTCGTGGAAATCGATTCAGCTCCCATATATTTTTTCGTCCGATTTTCGGTAAATAGTGCACCAAAGTCCCTTTGTATCCTTCGATTTGAACGAAATTTGCCATAGCGTACTGAATTGAGTCTAGAATGATGAGTGGTGAGTTTCGGGAAAATCGGTTTAGATTTCTACATATCTCCCATATATATTTTCGTCCAATTTTATGTAAATGGCGCACCAAGGTTCCTATATATATCCATCGATTTGCACAAAATTTGGCATAGCGTACTGAATTAAGTCTATATGTGTGTTAATTTTCGGTTCAGATTTAGATATAGCTCCCACATATAGATTATATTTTTAACAACGCGGCGTACCGAATAGCGTGTATCAATTTTGCTGTCAATAGTTTTCCATAAATTTTCCCTATATTACGCAGACGGATCTAAATCTGTTCCAATGAAATTAATGTTAGGATAGGTTGGAGAAAGAGGGAACATAGACATAATATTGTTAGGATACATATGTACAATATACCCAAAGTGGTGAAGGGTATCATATAGTCGGTCCAGTCCGACTTTACTACTTTCCTTACTGTTTTTTTTTTTTTTTTGCTGCAGTTTGTAGGGAGTGGGTAATTCTTTGCCATTGTGGTTCTATATTATTATCAGGACAAGGAGTGCTTTCGTGAAGCTGGTAGATTAGTTTACATTATATGGTTTTTACACATTTTCAAAATATTGACCGTAAGTACCAGAAGGAGTAGACAAATAATTCCCAATTTCGAACACAATATAGGTTTAGTAAAAATATTAGATTGTGTAAATTTTGAATCGAAATGAATAATATACATTTATTTTTCACCAAAAGTTTGAACATTTGTAGGGGAGGTACTAGAAGGAATGACCTGATATTCTCTATCTTCCAGCTTAACTTAAGACTGGAAGGACTATAACAATGTGCAAAGTGTGGATTAAATTGGTAACTCGTACGCATCATCCAGCCAGGCAGGCTGTCCGGCTGACAAAGACAGACAATTCTTTTATACAAATTTCCTATGAGTTTTCTGAAATTCTTTTAAATTAAATTGGAACAACTTTCTTCACAAAAAAAAAACTTAAATTTTCTGGTATGAGTCAAATAGGCTCACTTTCGTAAAAGTAGGTATATACTTAACATCCGTAAGTCTAGTGTTATGAATTACTCACTCTATCTCTTATGTTAATCGTATTTCCACGTGTAGTATCTATACTATATACCCCATTGTGTTGCACACAAATCATGTACTTTACTATTCTTGGTCACTTATTTACTCTCGTATGAACGAAACATCAACCAAAAATGCTTCTGTTCAACGTTATGCTCAGCTAACCCTATTACTATGCGAAATATCTGTCATCCTGCAGCATGTTTTTTTTATTACAGAGAGAGAAAAAACATGAAAATCCCCAAATAAAAATTTTGAAATGTCCACACCTTCCACTCCATCAAATGTTGGGCGCTAATAGGCAAAATGCAAAACGAATGGACTTTAACAAATCAGAAAAAACAACAAAAATTCGTTGTTGACTCGCAAAGTGTTGTTGATTATGCCACTCATCACAAAAAAGGGCACCAGT